TTTCCAGTTCATCTTATGCGACTGCTTGCTGTCCCTACATTAATTCTTATCTAACTAGATTGAATGTGGTGAATTTTAACAGACATACTTCTTTTCCTGCTGCTCTTTTTTACCTACAAAATTAACACTTCTGTGGAATCTGAAGCTCTTTTCCTAACGTGCTTAGACAAAACATAATAGTTTACATAAATTTAACAAGAAAACATCACATTACTATAGAGCACTTAACAAACAAGCTGAAAATATGTTCAAGTCTTGAAACAATTCTCTGAGAAACACCATTCAGATAATTCTAGAAGTAATGCAGAAATTTGTTCAATGGCCTACAAGTTATTTTCCAGGCTCTCCCAAAGCCAGAGCTATTGTCCCCCATAAGACAATTTTCTTACACGGCGCTTTACCTACCTATCAGATGGAAAGCTGTGCAGAGCCAGCTAATAGGAAAAGCTAATCGGACAGAAAGGCCTTAGTCTTCAGAAACCCCTAGTATCCAAGTCAAGACGTACAAGCAGGCTTGCTTATCCAGGATACAGAACCTAGAATTTTCTCTACAGGGCAAACAGAAGATTCTGAGGTTTTCAAATCCTTGAAAGAACTGATACAGGGCTGATCATTTTTTAACTGAAGGAACCCACTTGTGCATAACCTACCAAAAATAACGCTCATTTAGGAAGGTAACAGAAGCCAAAGGATCAGTTCAAACACCCATCCAGCATTATTCAGTCAAGAAGCTTTTGAGAAACCCGGGTGAAAGAACTTTTTCCAAACATCTCAGGCTAATGGGGCTGGAGAGAGGCACCAAAACACCAAGGCAAAGGTTTTGGGCACACACAGTACAACTGCATTTCTGAAGGGATCCAATCCTTCTGGTATGCACTAGACTACTGTCTAAAGTATCCCTTAAGTGATCTGCTCAATGTTGCGCTGAAGTTTGTCTAAAATCCGGTTTTAGGTATACACATCTTATCTGGGATGCTGGTTTTTGGAAACTAGTTATCTTAAAGTGATCTGCCTTATTATCAGTGAGGTTTAAAATACAACCTTAAAATAAATTATATTTACTATAAATTCTATTCTATGCCAGAAGCAGAAATTAAGTCATTTGCAGCAAATGATTTTATGTTAACACTTATCCAGCCTAAGAAATCTCTCTGCATCTACTTGTGGAAGGTGAGGAAGCAGGGCACAGATAAAAATAGATAGAATGAAATAGTTAATTTTTTAAATTTATTTGCAGTATGGTAACTTAAAGACTGGTGCACATAATATTAGAAGTCTTGAAATTATGTTTACATACCAATATGTTAGTGAGAAGTTACTTATGTCTGCATTCTGAAGTTGCTAATCCAAATCAATTCAGGTAAGCAAAACATTATGTATAGCTTATTTTAAACATTCGCTTCAAATTGCAATAATGTTAAATACAATGTACTTGTTAAGCCAATTTTATTTTCCAGTTTAAGTCATAGGATCCTTCTAGTATATTTTTATCTTTTTTCACATAAAAGTATTTTAAAAACCCGTAGTGAATTGTATGTGGGATCTTTGACATCTCAAAGGGTTCAGCTCAGCAATGCCCCTGCCACTGGATTTCAAACCTGTATTTTCTTTATTACAAAAGACTTATTTTATTACAGGTTTGTAAAGGATACTATATGAAAACCAGCTTATTTCTTTTTATCCATTGTGTCAATATTTAACGTTTACCATATTTGTTTAGTGAAACACAGTAATGTGCTACTAAAACATATAAAAGGCAAATCTCAGTTCCAAGAGGCAAAACATTTATCAAATAAAAAAGTGGATAACAGATTACATAGTGAGGAGGGATGCTAACAGAAGGGTATATGGTAAAATATCTACAGAAAACTACTCAGTGGTACTACCTCTGCACAGCCTGAACCACATTCTGGAGACAACGAATAAACTCAAAACTGGGCTTCTTGCATAGCTTCTTCATCAGAAGGTTGTCACCAAATCGTGCTAGAGAGAAATACAGTGAATTGTCCAAAACATTCAAGCAGCAAACCAGAGGAACTGTAACAACTCAAATCCAAAAGCCTTTTTCTTATCACATTGCATTCAGTATTTTTCTCCTTTTTCACTTTCTTTTGGCACAACAAATTTTTCGAGCTGGTGGTGGTGTCAATTATCTTGCTTTCATTTCTCTTATTAGTTTCCAAAGCCATTTGAATACAACAAAGTACAAAGGAACAGCCAATAAGGTACAGTTCTTGCAAAGTAAATTCTCCATCTGTGTGGAGTCAGCAGACTACAGAAATATTTTAGAATAGGTGGGAGACTTGTGTTACTGAGTGGCAAAACCAGGAGAAGTCAAGTGAAACAAAACTTAAAGGAAGCAAACCACGGAGATTGGCCTCATTAAAGAAAATCCTATTAAAAGCCTTACCAACTTAAAGCTAGGCAAAGAAAGCATCTTCTGCTAACAGCATTACTGCTGTGACCCACAACTAGAAGCCTACCACATGCCAGTGTCTTGGCCCCAAACTTCTCTTCACCTGATAACGCTTATTCTTTTCAGAGGGAAGGGGGGCATCTAGCAATACCTGAAAAACTGTGCATTTGCAGAAGTATATGCGTCTCAAAAAGTAACAGTGTATACTATGGGGACCAGTAATTTCAGCTCTTACTTCTTAGGGCGCATCACTGTGTTGACAACCAAGTATTATTTCTGGCTTTCAAAACTGGTTTCACTTCAGAAAATGATTTTACTAGAAGATCTGTTTGCAAACTGAACTATGAAAATTTTCTACACAATTAAAGAAAAAAAGCCATTTTCCCTGCAAGATGCATCTGACATTACAATTGAAAAATGCTTGCTATTGCATTGTAGTAACATTGGCGTAAGACAAACGCATTTTACGTTGTCTGTCTTCCTTACATCACACCTACTTTTGACAGGGACTTCTAATCAAAGTGAATTTACTCATTGATTCAATTTTGTCCTGCATCACAGTTCCATGCCACAAAGTGCTCTGTATGTTTATAGCTGAAAGATAACCGCCACTGCTTGAAGAGACCAGAAAGCAACCAAAAACCCACAGAAAGGGGGGGAATCCCAACATCAGAACTCTGTTTGTCTGTTTTTATAACATACATGATTCTTTTCATAAAACTACTCTTGTGTGGCATTGCCCCAAATAAGCAAGTCTCAGACATTTGGTTTGAGAAGTATTTCATCAGAAGACAAAATGAAAGACTGGGTTATCTTTTAATTTGGTAAGGAAGACAGTTTAAGGGCATTAGTCTTTCTTCTTTTAAAAAGGAAAAAAAACCCAAACCAACCAAAAACCCCAAAACCAGACAAACTAAAATTCACTGCCATGTTACTACAGCATAGCTCCAGCATTTCTTAAGGGGAAGACGATTTCTAGTGCAAACAGAAAAAGCAAGCAGTTAAGTATTACCAAGGAAATGATGATTGTCACAATGCAACAGAATATTAAGGCCAGTTAATAATAACTGAATATTTATAAATAAGACTAATTTCTATTAAAGCCTGCTTTTCCAAATATAACCAGAACAAAAGCACAACAATTCTGTAGTGTACCAAGTGTATATTTCAATTTACTGTATGCAGTCTAACAACAAATTTGGTCATAATTTACCAGATATACATAAATGATTTAAGTAGTAAAAGAAGATTCAGTTCCAAGAGAATAAGTTCATACCTTGAGGAAAAAAACAAAACAAAACAAAAAAAGAAGGAAAATACATTAAGAATGTAGAGCCAGGTCCAGTTTCTAAGCATTAAGTGAGCAGTATTCTAATAAAGCAGATTTAGGTGAATTTCAGATATATATATATTTATATATATAGACAGATCTACCAATTGTAAACTATGGTTTTAAAGGGGATAAATGGGATGGAAAAATCTTTATGCTATACTTACATATTCACAAAGCAGAACATTACTTTAACGTTTAAAATACTTTTTCATTCATATCATCTTTGCCCAACTAATTTCTACTTTGGACCCCACCAGAATTACACATTACTCATTTCAGTCTAGAACAATGAGAATAAGATGTATTCTTCAGTGTAAAAAAAAAAAAAAAAAAGGCACCCCCCCCCCCCCCCCCCCCCCCAAAAAACAATGGCACCCCACCCTCCCCACCCTCCCCCAAAAAACTAATCATCTGTCAGGTTTACAATGATGTGGAAGCTACCAATGAAACAAGTGGATGATAAAAAAAAGCATTTTAATTCCCATATAACTGTAGTTCAAACTTATCTTATCTTCAATCAGCAAAAACAATGTCTTAACATTATGTTACTGTTCTACTGATGTAAAGGACAACAGTAAAGCTTGTCTCTTTAAATACATACCAACTTTGATCAGATGGAGCACCATTAAGATTCTGTCCGTCAAAGCATAGTTCAAAGTTATCCACACAACTAGCATAATTTAGTTACCTGATATAAAATACGAAAAAATATACTCATTTTAAAATTAAACAAAGCTGAAAAATATGGTGACCCTCAATTGCTTTTTATACAGTACTGTCACACTGGCCTAGCTACGTGTCATGATAAATGCTCTGCATATTTACTCGTTATGACGTAATAGTACATCAGATATATTGTTCCAACGATTGCCTGAATTCATCTGCCTTAGGCTAGACAAAACAGAGGAGTTTAAGATGAAGGTGTAATGCCCTCCCCTCCCTATGAAAGAGGCCTGAAATCATTGGTACAATATTACAAGCCTAGGAAAAAAATCCACATGGCTACAAAAATTCAAGTTTCAATGCCTCCTAAAAATTTGAAACAAAGAGTGTAGGGAGCATATCATCCTGAAAAGTAGACAACTCAAAGAGCATTATTTTGCTTTGGACTTTTTGTTTTTGTTTAAAAAAAAAAATTCCAGCAAATTAAGTCAACAAGTTAAATGTAATTGGTTTATATTAAACACTAGCAACAACCCATTAAGTACAAAAGAATAAAAAATAGTTTGTGTTCATTTTAATGACAAACGATGGGCACAATAGCCTAGTGTCCAATTCACACCACATAAACTAGCCAAAAACCGGACAAGTAAGAAATTATCAAGCAAGAAGTTTTTTTAATATGACACTTTCTCCATTCCTTGTATTTTTATTCTGTGGGACTGAGGTATACACCAGGGAAGTCAAAAAGTTTGAGAGGAGGGGGGCCTTAGAGGAGGGAGGAAACATTATTACATCAGATACCTTTTAGCATGACTATCTCTTTTGACTAAGTGGCAGAAGAGTTACCCATGCTCTGATCAGTCTATTATTTTCACTATTGGTCATTTCTTCTGCAAGACCGTTTTGGAACTGATGAATTAGTAACAACCTTCTTGGAAATTCAAAACTGTGAAGAAACAGACACTAAGTTAATGCCATTATTAACTTCTCCAGTGCTTATCACCTATACCACCTGCCAGCATAGAGCCAAAAGTTTTAAAACCAAATTTCAATACAGTGTTGGCGTTATCTGTGATGCATATTTAAATGATTGGCTTTCACCTATCAGAGTACGGGAGAGGTAAGGTTTGTATGGCAAAGACATGCTTGTGGAAACAAGAGCCACTAGCCCAAATTAGCTTCACTGGTTCACCGACAAAGTATGAGTGGATTTGGGAAAGCTGTCTTTGTATTTCCATACCAAGCTGCAATTTTCTTCATTCATGTTAACAGATACATGAATGTGTAACATAAGTACAGTTACTACTATGTCTGAATAGGACCCAAGTAGCTATATCCTATAAATAATAAAAAATACATTTTTCTTTTGATAACTGACTGTAGATGTGAGGACTCTGTATAATTCAACCAAATGGTTGTATGCTGTACAGTCCTGTGCAAATATCATAAAAAAATTAATAATCCTTTTTTGCTATAAGGCTTTGACCCTACATTTTTCACAGCAACATAACTACCATCCAGCCTGTACCATATTTCGCAAGCCTTCAGTCCAAAAATTCAAAGAGTCAATCCATATAGTGTCCATTTGTGGCACCCTGAAGTCATATGCTGTCAGTCATCTAGAGGCATACAAACTTCCCCAGATTCATCCCATCGAGACTGGTCGTTCTGTTCTTCTACATCATCACCAAGCTCCTCATCACCTTCTCCCACTTCATTTTCCTCGTATTCTTCATCCCTAGGGAAATCTGTGTCCTGCACCTGGTCTGCTCCCTCTTGCCCTCCAGGTTGAGATTTATCTGCACAGTCTACACAAACTCCATAACGTCGTGATCCATGTCTTATTCCAACGCTGGCTGCTAGCATGAAAATCTTCTTACACACCATACATTTATACTTTTTATCCTTTTTATGCACCTATGGAAGAGAAATATCAACAGCTGAAAACATGCATATCAGGTTGCATTTGCATACAGTACTAGAAAACTACAGTAATAATAATTATTAATACAAAAATTCATTTTTTGAAGTCTTCCGAACGATATCCCAACACTGTTCAGAGAAAGAGAAGTACTACTAGAAATCCATTTGGACTACATGAGCTATTGCCCACAAGCAAACTACCTGCTTACTGTTCCACAGGTAGCTGACTAGCTGCCTGTTCCATAAGCAGGTGAGTGTTAATTTTATGACTGCTCACTGTACAGAACAAGACTCTGAAAGGCGATGAGAACCGTATAAGCACTTATGTTGCACACAGGATCATATCTCATTTAGAAAATTGCCTTTACAATTTTAAGTCTAGAAACATTAAGAACAAGCAGGAGTTAAGTTCTGCGTGAATTCGAAGAGCAAGATCCTTCTTCCATGACGCCTCCCTCCCAACACAACCAAACCCAACTACATCTTTCCAGATCCCTTTGGTGAATTTTTTGTCCTGTATGTAGTGAGCTTGTGTGTAAAATTAGAAGGCTGCTGTTGACTAAACATAAATTTTGATTTTTAATTTGGGAGTATATTACTTGTACAAGTAACTGAATTCAGCAACCATGTGTAATAGTTATAATCTTGCAGAAAATTAAGTTGAAGACTTCTTTCTTCTGTCTGGTGTCCCCGCAACAGACTACAACTATGTGCTTAAATATCTCATTTGAGGTCACATTGAAAAAGTTGCCATTTTAGATAAAACAGAAATTACCACCCAGATGAGGGAAATCACCAAGATACAAACAGTTACTTTAGTCCCCCTGTATAATCTGTACAGCTGATACTGCGTGTTTTTTCCTCAGCCTCTAGACTTATTAAAATAATGCTTCACACAAAGCAGAATGCTTGAGGTGTTTGTTGAATGGAGGGGGCGGGGGGGAAAGAAGTGTTCTGACTCCATCAGGCAGAGCACACTTCAGTTAAAGCACAGGGCTGGGCTGAGCTCACTCTATAGCTATTTTCACCCTGTCTGACTTCATTTCCTTTTCTGCAGGGAAAAAATCTTCAGCTACAAGACCTGGTCAGATACTGCAAGACAGAAACCTGAAGTCCCACTCTACTCTTCCTGGTAGACCAACTACCACCCACCGTTGCTACCATCTCTGGTGAGCCACAAAGGAAGAAGTAGAGTAGCTGCTGGGACATGTTACGTGGTATCACCACCAATAAGGTGATAATGACCTAACCTCCTCTGCCCAGCCACAGAGCTGCCCCGTACCATCACCCTCTCCATCACTGCAGTCACCTACACACACTACAGTACAAAATGTCCTTCAGACTCTGTAACATCGTAGGTACTCCTGTCCCTTCAGGCATCTAAGCCTTCACCAGGTGGTATGGAAGGAGGAAGAAAGGCAGCAGTAACAGTGGAACATAAGATGCTGGTTCTAAAATTTACATAGGAGCTAACAACATATACCTTTCCTACCTGTAGAGCATTTAAAGAACACTTAAAATTACTACAGTGGTCTTATAAATATCTTCCAGAATTATATCCTGATACGACTCAGGTTATTATTTACTTTTAATAATATTACTGGCTAACAGAAAGTCCATTTCATGATAGCACAAGCTAGAAAGGAAAGTTAGTAAGACTTACACCAAAAGCTCTTTTCTGCATCCACATTAGAACTTGGAAGCTCACAACCACTTTTTCTACTCACTGAGGAATAAAAAGCCAACTGCGAGGAGGCTATGGAGAGTTATGGAACACCTTCATGAGGGAGCAAGGTGGCCCATTGATTCTCAAAGGACTGAGGAAAGCTACCAAAATGGAGGAGTAAAGTGCAGTTTACCCCATTCCATGTACTAACCTATTCTGAGTATCTGCAAAACATGTTGCAAAATGAGTTTAAAATCACAGCTTGGAGAAATGTTATTACCTTCTCACCACCAATATGCTCTCGCTTTTATTACTCCCCTAAAACACATCTTGGATTTTATACAGTAAATATTACAATGAAGTCTTAATTTCCTTACAGACTAGATACAAAGTACCTGCAAAATGCCCAAGACACATAATACTTTCTCTGGATCCTCAGATAAACAGTACTCAAGTCAAATCCTGAGTTATGCAACATGCACAGGACAGGGTAAGCTCAGCTGCCGATTACGGTATTGGTAGAATACAAGTCAGAAGGACATTTACTTTCTGCATCTCACATATTTTTCATTCTTTCCTAAATCTTAAAGCAGATGCTATACGATAGCTTTGTCTAGTTGTGAAATAAGTATTTCAGAACTACCCCAAGATATTGTGCAATTGCTGATTAACAGGGTGTCCTCACAGAAAACGGTGATGCAACATTACAGAACAAGGAGATGTGCTATTCTATTACAGTAACACTAAGCCAATATTCCATTTCATTATCTACAGAATACTTACATATACTGCATCTCTTTATCACGTCACTTTCAAAATCATCTTGAAATTATCTCTATCAGAATTCCAGCGACTGCCTTAATTGATACTGCATTTTCCATTAAGAATATAAGAGGTATAGTTATCACAAAGAGATGTTTATCTTCACCCATTTTAGATTAAGATAAAACAATTTACATTATGGCACATCAGAGAACAGTGTTTCTCCCAACTACCAAAAGATCTGAAAAAACATAAAAATCCACTCGTACATGTACGTACATACACACACACTCTTGAGGTTACCTACCAAGGAATGTCTCTTTACATGCTCTCTTCGAGTAAACAGCTTCCCACAGATGTCACAACTGAAAGATCTCACGCCTGTGTGAATGAGCAAGTGTCTCTTTAGTGTTCTTCTGTATTTGGCTACATAATTACAGTGTGGACACTTCAACTTGTTCATGATTAAAGCAGAGGAATCGCCTACAAGAAAATAAGCCATCAGGAGAAAAGATGATAAAACACAAAAAACCCTATTTCAATATGTTCTGCCTGGTGCACAAAAATAAACAGGTGCCAAAACAATAAAGCACCCACATGACTTTTCATCAGCCAAATCAGGACAATGCCTGCCTGCAGAAACCACAAGTACTGGTAGGTTCTGCATGTATGATCTTGTTAGAAAAATACCTACTTGTAACCAAGGAATTTTTACTACGGAAGTACAGATCAATTCTTTGAAAAGAAGTCTTATTTCATGAATCAGACTAAGTTAGTAGTATTCCATTTTCTAGAGGTCACCTATACCAGAAAACACTTTATTCTGGATTAGAAACCCTCTAGCTCCGTGGAATTTAGACAGTTACAATCTTCTCTCCCAATATTCTATTTAGAATTATGTGCAGGAACTGCCTGCCAAGATCTGACTCTACAAATAAATAAAAAAAGTACAACTAAGCAAGAATGAATATTGACAAAAGGAGTAGGACAGTACGAGGTAGCATAATTCTGAAATAGCTAAAAAGGGAAGTTATTGGCTCAGATCTTAGCTATTCTATACCCAAAGTCTATTCTGGTCTAACAGTAGGAAAAAATAAAAAGAGCAGAAAAAACTTCTGGAAGTAGCAATATCCCACTTCTTCCTTATGATGGAAGAGAGCTGTTTACATATCCTTGGACCAAGGATAACATAGCTTGCTCAAAGGATACGTGCAAAACAGGTTTACTGCAGGTGCCCATTACTGTGTGAAATAGAAAAGCACAGGATGCTGTGACAGCTATGAAGGCGTCCACACAGGAATACAAGGGTTATTTTGAGAATAGGGTACTGACTCAGCTTACTACAGGTGAGATAATTTATGAACATGATTGTAACCATCTAGAAGCATCCAAAAAGCACTGGCTAAGGCTACATGATTAAGAGTTTCTAGTGTTCATGCTGGCAGGAAGAAAGCAAAAATAATTGTGTGTTATGTGCATGGGCCTGCATGCTTATATCTAAGATGTCTCCTCCCAGCTTCAAAATCCATCATAACATGAAAGTTAAATTTTGCTAATATTCAAAAGTTTGCCTTGGCATATCGGAGCACTCATGCAAGCTGCATGTCAACATAATGTCACGTAATGGCTTACACGAAGAAAAATAAGTTCAAAAGAGGTTTTAAATTGCAGTCTTATACACATCAATAGGGGTATGACAGACAGACATACATCTGGGCTGTAAGATATATGGGAATCTAATGGTTTAAGAACAGGCAGACCTCCTAAGCCCCGAGTCCTAATCCCTTGCCTGCTAGTGAATTTCACCTTCTGATGACCCAATTTCTTCCACTGTAAACCCCAAAATATTTAAAGTAAACCATAAACCACATCCCAGTAATAGCTCAAAGTTACAGAGAAGAGGTAGGCATTACTATTACCCAGTCCTTAAGATCCTCTTTTTATTGAAGACTTTATGTATTTTAAGGATCTAGCAATAATTATTTTAGATGTGGGAGTTTTCTGTATGTTTTCAGACAGAAAAATAATTACAGATAATTGCTTGCTTGAACTATTAAGAAAGGCACATAAGCTGTGAAACAGTAGGTTACATAACACAGGTTTGACTGAAGAGGGCTTTAGCTGCATTGAATTCAAAACCTTTATTGCAATGAAGCTTTTATTTTTAATAGCGAGAAGTATGCTCCGAGATCTACTTTTAAAATTATATTTAACTTCTTATCTTCATCATCCATTATCTGTAGTTAGCTTACTACGGGGCGGGCGGGAAGCTACCATTAAAGACCTCAGGTATCTTCATATTCAGGAACAATACAAGAGCCGATATAAATCATGTTCTGTTTTTACTTTTCCATACGTTTGAATTCCTTTTTCTCCCTCTGAGGAAATACTCCTATTTACATTATCCAGAAAGGCAAATGATACGGAAGAAGATTATGTAAACACTTAATCTTATAAATCTCTAAACAAATTAACCAAATATTACCAGCAGTGACACAGAAGATAATGAACCCCTATCAGAGGCAAAAAACAACCTCCTCTCCATCAAATATACTTGCCATTTTCCCAAGCTTCTTTTGGCCAAGATTCTGGCAGCAGTCCATACTTGAAGTCACTTGAAGTACCCGGCAGCAGTCCATACTTGAAGTCACTTGAAGTACCCGGCAGCAGTCCATACTTGAAGTCACTTGAAGTACCTATTACAGACACAGTCTCACTTTAGCTTCCCGGGTTCTAATCAGTCATGTTGTTTAGCAAAATATATATCCTTTTTAAACTGTGCCAAAAAAGTTTCAAACCTTAAAATAGTAATTATAATCTTTTTTCACATAATCTCCAATACTGAAATGAAGAAAATAACTGCATTCCTAATTTCAATGAAATTAGACCTTTGAACTACTCCCCACAGCATCATTTCTTCTCCCCATCCTGAGAAAAATTCAAAGCCTTTTTCATACTACAGGAACTTTTATGGTAAAGATACTTATTCCCTCACTATCATCATGACAGGGCTAAGAAGTTTTCCACTGGATTCTCCTTACAACTGCTTTATGCAGTGACTTCATCTGGTCTACCACAGGCAGTCTAGTCGGTACAAAAGTAAACATTTTCTACTGGAGGTGTGACTTTCTTTATTGCCTTAAAATATCTCAGTGGTATAAAAAGTGCTTTAAATACCTTTATTTATACGAAGTATCCTACAGCTATGTCTAAATCCTTTTTTGAATAATCATCTCCATTACTCTATAACCACATCAATTCAAGAGACCATAATGACTTGGAAAATACCAGCTTAAAAGACTAATTTGCATGTTTACATTTGGTCTTTAGATAAGCTCTTCATGCAGTTTGCGTTGTCTTTGTAGCTTTCCCCCCCCGTCTTTAAAAGAACAAAATAATTCAGAAGTGAACAGTGCCTTAAAAAGATCCTTGCTTGTTTAATTCTATACTTTTGTAACAAGTAAGAATTGCATGAGTGAATATGGAATCACTATTACACAGCACAGATAACTATAAATAGTATACAAGAAAGCTGCACTAGGCATTTGACAAAATCATATTTGTGGGGCAAAGACTTTTCTGGCAAGAGTGCAAATCAGTCTTCTCCCCAGTCCCCAAGACAGGAGTTTGTTGGAAAACATGAACTCATAAATCCGTTACTTTCCTCACAGGCACACAGCTGTTAAATAAACAAACTGCAGTGGAAACTGGCAGATTTCCTTTTATTTGTCTGGATGGTGCTCAGGTCCTCACATTGGATTCCCAATTTCACCGTTGTGAAAAGTCTTGAGAAGGGATTCATAGCAAACAGATACATTTTTATGTAAGCAGAGCTTGAATGGACAAAGGAAGAGAAATCCCAGTATTTTAGCTCATCCACCCAGCTATTTTGGTATAAAGAAGGGGGAGGAGAAGGGAAAAAGTCTCCCTCTCCTTTAAGAAACAAAGTAGCGAGGAAAATATTTTTTTTTTTTTTTTTAATTACTGACTCTTAATAGCTGTTATGTCCAAAAGAGGCAAGAACTCCTTACACTAATTTGGAGCTATGGACTCCAGCAATGGCCTCTCACAGCAGCTCAAGGAATAGAACACGGATACCCTATAGACATGCCAACTACACATTCCTTTGAAGTGAGCAGTAAAACTTCCTTCTGTAATACATAAGAAAGGATTAGTGAGGAAGCAGTGTTGTACAGTTCTGGGCATGAGCAAAGATGACTTGATCTCAAGGCAAAAGCCTCCAAATTAAAGCAGGCTTCAGGATCTAGCAGAGAAAAAAATAAAACAACTTTTATAATCTGTTCAAAATATTAGACCTTTTCTTTATAGGATTTTCCCCTCTAACAGAATTGTCCTGTCTCTAGTTGACCAGTGTAAGATCAGTGATCAAAATATTTTAATCACCTTTTTCCCCCCTTATGGGAGGAATATGTGCAAGATCAACAGACCAAGCCTTTACTGCTCACAGATGTAACGTGTATGCTGTGTATAGGAAATATTGAATAGCTTCCCTTAAAATAAGCATACATCAAAGACTGACCATAAGTAAGAGTTGTACCAAGCTAAGCACATTTATAACACTGTCACTTTGACAGTTCTTCTGGATCTAAGAGAACACAAATTGAATTTCGTTATGAACATTTATGCTTACAGCTGGTATTGAAGTCTGAGGGAAGTCAGGAGCTCAAATCCCTGCATAGGTCTAGATCTTAGCATAAGACTCGGCATAAAGCCAAATAGACTTAAGAGATGTAGTCTAGTGTAGGTAATAGCTACTAAATCTTTCTACCTCTAATTTGAAGACCTGCTATAACATGAAAGAACACTGGCACAGATACCACAAGAGATAAGAGGTTGCTACAGACACTTCAGTCTCTGCACAGTACAGGACTAAGTAGATCATAATTAAACCTAATGCTTATTCTTAGAATAATTCATTGACCTAGAAAGCCTACTTTCTAGATTAAGCACACATATAATGTATTCGAAACAAAACAACAAAAAAGGCATTTTTAATGTCTAATGGCTCATCCATACAGGAAAGACATGAATTACATACAGACTGGGACCTGAAGTGCAATACCTAGCCTCTACTAGTTTCCCCAGGAGGACATATAGCCTACAGTCAGATAAGCTTCTGACTGTAGCTGAGCCAAATATAAGATGTTACAGACCCCTGTGGCTCATAACATCTCGCATTCCTCCTCCCACCCAGGCTACTGCCCCCTGAAACCTGCTTGCAAAACCACAGATATAGTCATCATCTAAAGCTGTTCCTGTCAACTTGAACCCACATGATTTTGATAGGAGACTGAAAGCAACTACCTATGCAGTTGTACTGGTAGATTGGGGGTGGGGTGCAAAGCAGGAAATACAGACAGCAGTGAGAAAGAACTTTTTTTTTAAAAGTTAACTAGAAGCAATAGTGTTCTGTATACCCAGACCAAGTCATCTGACCACAACTTTCCTCTGATCTAAGGCTACCTTTTTACAGTTTAGTTGATTCCTAAAAGAGGTGTAAGTTAATAATTCAAATGTCCATTAGCCTCCAACATCTACCCATTCTTCTACCCTGCATGGAGAAGAGGTTTCTATGAGTAACCTGATCTTTAAAAAAAAACAAACCCAAAATAATAAAAATAAAACACGATACAAATAAGCTGATTAACTATCAGCACTAAAATTCTCAAGACGTCAATTTGAGAAGAGATAAAGACAGTCCGAAATACAATGAAGTGATTGTGTAGGCTTTTACACAGCTAACAAAAACTTTATTGAAGGATTTTACGTTCTACTGTGTTTGTTCTCAGGAAAAAGGATAACCAGAAGTCAGACACACTGATTTTCAGTTAAGAAGGCAAGAGCTAGGGGAGTATCACCAGCAAGAGAGAACGCATCTGAGCAGAAACATCCTCAGTTTGACAAGTTTTACTCTTTTTCTGTAACCAGAAATATGCTGATTTTTTAGGAAGAAAAGGAGATATTACTGAGTAGGGGATGATCAAGGAGATTAATGAGAAGATCAACAATAGAAGCCTTTGAACAGGTCATTATAGAAAGGGATATGGACATAGGGCGTGCTGAGGGAGAAGATAGAAAACTGTGTTAGATACAGTTGTCTAATGAACTTAACTTCTGTTTTCTTTACACATATTACCCCTAAAAACAGTGCCAGAAGAGGAGAAAGAGGAACGCTCCTATTTTTCTCACCAGGTTTTCTGACACTGACTGCTCACTCAGATCAATTAAAAAAGACAGAAAGTAGACAGGATAAGCAATTAGGCCATAGCTTTCAAGGATTGTAAAAAGCGCAGTAGTAATCTACTGATACAATCTGGATTGCTATTAGAGAGCTGGATTTGTTGCTTATGTTAGGTAACATGACAGAAAAAACAGCACTGCCAAGACTGACACACTGGGAAGGTGGGGAAAATAAAATATATTGTATTCCATTTGTTCCCAGAGTATTACTCACATCTTTAACCTTGCTTCTGAAAAGGGGTCAAAGCATATTACTTCAACTGCTTCTTGCAACAGAAGGCTCAGACAAACTTAAGACATTTTGCCAATGCAATCTTACTCATACTTTAAGTACTGCTCCCAATTGCTCTTAGTTTTTACTATTTCTCATTCACGAAAAAAATGGTTTATGACCTTGACTATGGAGGCAGATCTATCACCAACTAACCCTGCCAGATGACCATCAGTTGATGCCAAATATATCGTCCACTTGCCTTTTCAACTTGCTTATCATATATTCCCTGAAAAACTCCTCCCTGAGAAAGGGGTGCCGTTCACATTAAAAAGCTGTTTTGCAGATCTCTCCCCACAAAGGCTACGTCAGTGAAACACAAGATAGTAAGAGCTTTCCTCATCCAGATCATTTATTTGTGGGGGAGTTATTGCTCTTGGGGACTATCACAGACTCAAACAAAAACTTAGGTCTGAAGGGACCTCTGAAGGTCACCTAGTTCAACCTCCTGCTCACAGCAGGGATAACTTCAAAGCTGGACTATATGTTGCTTTGGACCTTGCCAAGTTTTAAATATCTACAAGGATGAGAGATTCCGTAAACCCTCCAAGCAATATGTTCCAAAACAACCACTCTCACGGTCAACAGTTTTCTTCATATACAACTGGAATTTCCTTAGCTGCAACTTGTGACAATCAACTCTTGCCCTTTCACTTGTGCACCTCTGAAAAGCATCTGGGTTCATTTTCTCTATAATCCCCTTAAGGTGGTAGAAGACATCAGGTAGATCCCTCAGCCTTCTCCATACTAAATAAATTCAGTTCCTCAGCCTCTCCTTGAACACGTTCTCCGCCCCCCTAACTACCTTAGGGCCCCTCCACCGGACTCCCTCCAGCTTGCCAGCATCTTTCTTGTACTGGGCTGCCCTAAACTGGGCACAGGATTTCAAATGTGGTCTTGCCAGTCCTGAGTACAGGGGTATTATTATCACTTCCCTCAGCCTGCTGGCTATGTTCTCGCAAATACCAACACTATGAGGCTAGCCTTCATTGCTCCTACTGAGCAGTAGTGCATCCTACTGATGCACTACTGACAGACATTCAGCTTGCTGTCCACAAGGTCACCCTGGTTCTTTTCCACAGAGTTACTACACATCCGCTCAGCTTGTACTGATGCACAGGGTTGTTTCTTCCAGATGCAGGACTTGACATTTGTCTTTGCACA